ACACACAAACGCGCACACACACACACACATCCCAACAATGCGCAAACAAAACCACAGCCCATATTATTTCGCTGTAAAGCTCATAGGTGCGCTTAGGAAAACCTTTTCGGAATCTCCTGGTACTTGGGCTCCCGGAGCGCCAAGCTCTGAGCGATGGCACCAGGTCGGCAGTCGAACTCGATCTGCCCAAGGGGAAAGCTTTAGGGCTTTGGGATTTCCCGGATGTTAAGTTGGGGGTCAGTGGAAATTCAGGTTTTAGGGCGTTTCGGGATCGTGGTTCGTACATGCGCGTGTGTATATATATGTGTGTATGATTATGTATGCATGCATGTGTAAAGGTGTTTTTTGAAGGGGGAGGAGTGAGGGGGGCTCTGCACGAGGAGCTCCAGGTTTCTCACAGACAATCGTATTTCTGTATAGCCTCGAACCTGAACTTCTTGAACCGCCGTATGGCATAATCAAAACAATTGTTGCAATAACAATGAACATAACTGATATGGCTGATGTTTTTGCCAATTTCTAGCGATCATAGTAGCCAAAACTGCATGGATACTTTTAGGTACGATAGCGGCAATAACAATCACAGCCCCGATACGATCATGCACAAGGACAGCAAAGATAACTACAACGGCAACATCCGAACAGCACCAGCTGTGCTTGACGCAACAAAAGGATAGTGCGCAAACCTTCATAATAGCAATATTATCCTGCCGCACCTTGAGCAGATTCGTGATGTCGTCGACGGAAAGTGCGCCCTTCTCCTCGTTTGCAGCTTGAAGGTTTGCGACGGTTTAGACCTCAAACTTTCAATTTGGGTGGGAGTTTTAGAAGATCACACCCCCCTTCCCAAAGAGACGCTATCTACTGGATCCTCGCATCAGAAACCCTACAAGGGTGACCCCTGTTCCAACACTGTTCCAACACGCGCCCCAGAGCCCTCCGAACGACTGCACACCGAAGCCCCAAAACGTAGCTTCCATCTGCCGAGGATCGCTGCCGTAGGTCTCCACGAAGAGCGACAGAGGCTTGGCCACGCCGATGGCGTAGGACAGCCTTCCGAACAGAACGGGGTTTAGGAGTTTAGGAATTGGGGTTTCCCTTACAGGAAGGATCTACTTTTCTGATTGTCAGTTGTTTCCCTGGCCTTGGCCAGATACACTCTTGTAGATTAGTGGTGATTGATCCGTGGAAGCGTGGGGAGCCGAGTGGCTGAACAAGGCAGCGAGCGCTCAGCCCGCTGTTGACCACGGACTTGGCCTCGGGAGATGGATGGGTTCAAGGGAAGTTCCACGGTGTTTGCTGTATCCCTTGATGTCGTTTTGCTCATTGGTCTTGCATGTGAGTTTTTCGAGATGGCGATACTCTCTTGGTTGACTTCTTTTGCAGAAGTTCATGGTACTGTTATTGTTGGGACAGGTTCGAGGATGATTTCTACAGGAAGCTGTTCTGACTGAAGATGTATCCTGAAGGGGTTTAGAGGGTTGCCTCCGGCACCCGTCGAGAGTAGAAGCTGATGTGTCAGGTTGCAGAACGTCGCCAACCCCATTGAATGCCCTAAATGCTTCGAAGACGTTCAAGTCTAGTGGCTCAGGCTGTCGTTTCGGCTGGCAGCTGATGCAAGCAGTTGGGCCAGGGTGGAGACATGCTACTATCAAAAGCTCGGCAAAAACTGGGTAGGAGCCACCTTTGCCATTTGCAGATCTGCTGACAGAACACCCTCAACATAAGAATCACCAACTCTCATCGCAAAGCTCCAGCAGTCAGTGCCTCAGCAGCCTTGAGCCCTGAAATAGCACAACGAGCAAGTGGCCATCTGTCGGCAAATGTAGGCCGCAGAGCGATCCACCTGCAGAACATAGGGGTTGTCCTACGTGACCCCTCATGAAGTCTGTACTCGCTATCACAAGCAGCTCAAGCCTTCAATGCAAGGTGATCACACGACGCTGGGCGATTTGCAGAGATTCTCCCGCCATGTTTCCCACCTTGGTGGGATCCTTGCCGGAGAAAGCGCCACCACCATGGGCTCCCCAGCCTGCAATTCCAGAGGGATTAGCTGAGGCAGAGCTTTGTTAATGCCGCCGTCCAACCATAACTTACTTACAAGGTGGTTTCCCACCTGGACTCTTTGCTTTCAGGACTGAGAAATTCAGGATGTTCGGTCTAGAGTCTGGGGTTGAGGGAGGCTAAAAATTCAGAAAACACGCTGCTGGCCCAGCCTGAACAGTACTCCCCCCTACGCCTAACCACCATTTTCAGACACTTCTAAACCCTAGCCTTATCCACTCCACCCAAAAATCCGACATATAAACTCTAACAACCGACCACCACAAAATCTCAACTCTAATCTAACATTCCTGAAACCCTATTCCCCAAAACCAAAGCAACCAACAACCCCAAAACCCGAACTCTA